GCAGGACTTTTACTTTCTGACCCCTGGATTGTCCGCCTCTGATTACCAGTCTTCAAACTTTTCAAACTGTTAGATATGAATGATATCTTTATAGAAATAATGAATATATTGTATAGATTAAGAAATGCTGGAATAATAGTTAATTTTGTTTGGGTTCCAGCGCATGTTGATATACCAGGAAATGAAAAAGCTGATAAAATGGCTAAAGAGTCACTTAATCTGAATACTCCTACTATTTCAGTTTCACTAAGCAGGATGGAGGGGAAAGTATAATTAAAGAAGCTTGCAATTGGAAATGGCAAGGGAATTGGAATGACTGTAAAACAGGAAGACATTTTTATAATATACAAAACAGGGTAAGTCAAAGCAAAATGATACTGAACTTAAGTAGAGAAGATCAGGCCATTTTAACAAGACTAAGGATGGGTCATACAAAACTTAATTCTACACTTCATATAATAGGGAAACACAGTACTGGATTATGTGAAACATGCCGAGTAAAGGACACAGTTGATCATGTGTTGTTACTCTGTCCTAGGTATGAACAGGAAAGGAATGAACTACAAAGAGAATTACAGAACTTAGGGTGTAATGAATTTTCAATCTGCAACATATTAAACACAAAACAAGGATGTGGTAAAATAATAAAGACAATTTTAAAATGCATTAGGAATAGTGGATTTAAGAATAGCATATAGAATTCATAATATATACCTAGACTGAAATCACTTCACACTCCAGCACAGGAGGTGGCGGTATGCACCTTTAAAGCTGGTATGCGACCCGCCAATAAATCCACAGAAGAAGAAGAAGAACTCCGCCCCTCACTTCCGGTTCTGTGGCATGTGGCTCTGAAACTGCTGGTGCTGCGGGTCTGCAGCTGGATACTATTGGCTTCATCCTCTTCCCGCAGTGTTCTTCAAGGACCCCCAATCAAAAGTGAAAGGAAAATAATTGGGACTCCATTCCGGGCATTTAAACCCTGAACCTGAGTATTTAAACGGCGTTCTATTTTGAGGTAAGTTCAAAACGTGTTATTCATTTTAGCATGTAGCCTAGTTGTGATGACTTGCTACCAGCTAAGCCTATTTATGTCCTTGTTATTTGTTAAGCTGTTAATAAATGACGACTATAAGGATGATTTGTGTAGAGAAACGTATTGCTTGTCATAGATATGCTTTATATTGTCATATAAAAGTGAGCTGCTAACTTTATTTGTTTTTTGGTCTTCGTTACATTTCAAACCATCATTATACTTCGACAGCTTGTATAGCTCATGACAGAAACGTCGACGATTAAATTACTTGCGTATTTAGTCAGACTCACTCGTTAAATAACAATTATAAATAACAATTGAAAGTCGTTTATGGTGTTTGTGACGTCGTCGAAATTTGACACAGTTCTTGTGAATTTGATCATATATTTCTCTGCCTGCACACTTTTAATGCACAGAAACAAGATCAACATTTGATTGTTTGCATTAACATTTGATTTGATTGTTAGCACACTTGTAACAACGCGAGCAAACGTGACGCACGTTGGTTGCAATGAATCCCTTAGAAAAAGAAGCCTTTTTAATTGTAATCCGCTGTACTAAATACTGCTACTGCATCCAAATTACCACGCTAGTTCTTCAGTTATTAGAGACTAAAATGGAGATCCCATCAGAAAAATACGTAAACAGTTTAGTAGAAACGACCAAAGTTACCATAACAACAAATGCTGTTGAACTGGTTGTGTCTCAATCTACTGGTAAGGGCTCTATTTTCGGTGATATGATAACGTCAATACTGGTATTTTAAACAGCAATAGAACTGATATTTTTCCCATGAATGCACATTTCAGACATCTTTTTTTTTTTTTTTTCATTAAAACCTATAGGTTAATTGAGTGAACTCATTATATTCAAAGGGTTGCTTATGACATATTTTCAATTAAAATATTAAATATGTAAATAACCGTATTTAAGAATAATTTTACCTTTCGGATTAATCTCTTTTACTGGGATTGTGACGGTGAGGAAATGGAAATTTTCCCACCGGTTTAATCAATGTGTGACAACACTGGGGGGTGGGGGGATTGACTTTCACTTTCAGATTAGCGGCAATTCGGCGTCGATTCAATTCAAGCAGCAACAACAAAATACAACATCGAACTCATAGAAACTAACGGGTTCCAGGCCAGGATGACCAATCATACATTTAGGTGGATTGTGCAGCTGTTGTAATCTTCTTAAAACCTTGAAAATGCGAAAAGATAACTGACACTGACAAAATGACAGCAGAGCAGCAGTCCATTTCATGTAGGCATTTTGCCACAATTGTTACAAAGACACCTGCACCAGGAACATTTGTTCAAATTTGTTCAAACACTGGTTGCCAATTTCAAACAATAAATGGCGGTGCACACATACATTGCAACGACTCGATGTGACCTGTCCTTCAACTCCTGCTGGAACCATTATTTATGGTGTGACATAACTTCAGTGTTACAGCTACTTAGTTTTATGTATTTGTATTGACGTTCGCATTACTTACAAGTCTACATTTACCAAAAAAAACAAACAAAAAAACACATTTTGCGTGACCATTAATTGTACCATAGACATACCCCCGCTGTCAATCAACTGTACTTAGGTAAACACCAGTACTGTACCCGGCCAGTAAAAAATAAATAAATGTCTTATTTTTGATAAATGTCTGCTTTTTCTTTTGAAATATAATTTAACCCTTTAAGTTTAAAATATTCTTGCTGAACCGCCAGAGAGAAGCTGTGTCTGAAATCGCTCACTCGTTCACTCATTCACTAATCCCTATATAGTAGATGGCAGTTGAGTGGACTATATCAGGAAGGCGTGAACAAATAAGTGAACGGATTCGGACGGTGACGTATACACTGCGCGTGAGACTTGGAACTGTTGCAAAAACATTGCCATATGTACTTTTATATTACATGTACCTTATTTTTGAAAATAATATTAATAGCAATAACACTCAAAATGACTTTATATTGTAATTATACATACCTTTGCGTCAGCTTAATTGGTTTCATATAGGGTATATTATTAATTTGTTTTGTAATGCTTATGTTCATAATCATTAAATACTATTAAAATACAAAAGAACAAAAATAAACACACATCAACACGTTCATAATTTTATGTATTTATTATTTTTGGTATCTTGACACTCTTCCAAGCAGCGTTTTGAGCTCAGATAAGATAATGGTCGTAGGGCGCCCTCAGTTGACCGTTAATTTTACATCAGACTGAATACTGTACCTACTGTGATTAACGAAAATGTTTTAATTATCCACCAAATTATCATCATTTTTGTTAGTTAACAACGATGCCACCTCAGTAAATTAGTAAAATATTAAACTGACTTATTGCCTACATAACATATTTTAAATATGTAAGAAGTATGCAGAAATAATAAAGATGTAAACGGCATCTCTCATTCAAAACTCGCTCGCTCCTGCTCTCTCTTCCAGCTCGTCGCTAACTCCGCATTGCATTGTGGGAAATAGTGCTTCAGTGAGTGTACATCGGTATACACTTGAAATCAGAATGAATTGTGGGTAAAAAGTAGTGGACGAATGTAGGGAATGAAGACATTCACTCAGAATTCAGACAGCACTACAAAATGGCTGACACCCGATACTGCACTAAATAGTGGATAGGGAGCGGTTTCGAACACAGCTTGAGTTTTTCAGAATGAGTTTTTAGGTGTTATTTTAGAATATTTCCCCTTATTGTTTCCGTGGCGATGCATCATTCTTGTCACGTGACACACCATGACCACAATAACATTGTATGACAGATGTATCGATTTATTTCGTTTTTCCTTTTTTATTCAAAATATTCACAAGCTTGCTTACAATGTCATCAACTATCTGATACAACAGCACATGAATTCATCAGTTTCTCTCAAAATACCCAAAATACATGTTAGTAAGTGGCTGGTGAACTGGGAGAAAGATAGCGTGAACTTTATGGTTACTTACACCATGTGTGTCTGATATGAATAAAACAAATTATATTTGAATGGATTGTTATTGCTGCTTCCATAGACATCAGTGTGTATTTAAATGTCTGAAACCTAAAATAAACATTGTGTGGTTGAAAACACTGCATAGTTGTGATTATATGATAAGTGCAGAGTGCATCTCAGCGCCAGCCAAAGTGCGAAAGCACAGTTTGAATTTGGCAGCTATGTAGCATCACTGAATGTTCTAAAATCCCATATGATGGGATTTCCCACAGAAATAAAAGACTGTACCACTCAAAAGATTAAACTCATGTTTCTACATAAAAGGTCTGAAATCAATCTCTTCACACTCTAGAAATGATAACAGGAGCACAGGGCCTCCAGAATGAGTTTCCATGAAGATAAAGAGAAGGAGGGCACTGCCTCGAAATGGAGTTATTCATCTCCTGCCTTCAATAATACAACAGTGACTTCTGACCCAAGGTATGACACTAGCTATGTCTGCATTTGACATACTTTTTAAATTAAATATACAGTGCATTCTAGAAGCCTGTGGTTGGTGAGTGTGAGTGGTAGGGTTGGGCCGATAGACGATGCCATCGTCCATCGCCGATGGGCTGACAGACATCACGATGTTAAGCTGACATCGTGAACCCCCCCGCCCCACCCCCGTTCCCGCAATCCGCCTCATCCCAGTTCCGTGTTCGAAAAGGAAAAGAATGGACGTGAGCGGTGGCTACGATCAAATCTCACGTCTGGTCTCAGCTCGTGTACGCCAGGTTTTCAGTTACCTGAACTTGTGGACACTCTTGATGCATTTTATTTATTTTCTTTATATCTTTATTTGATTGAATCCATCTGATCGCACAGGCGCCTCACGCACACACAAACAACATTAGTTCTAGCGTTGCCTGACATTTCAGCCATTCATCATCAAACTAAAATGCAGTCAACCAAACATAAAAGTACCACTGTTTATTTTAAAAGATCCGCTGTAAAATCAGCGTGCAGCGCCCAAACAATAAACATTTTTGCTCACGTGAAGGATTTTACACGGATATTAGAACATGACTGAAGTATAAAGCCATGTTTAGGCTACATAATGAATAATAGTTATGCAAACAAATGTTACAAATATGGCAAAAATGGATACATTTGGATTCTTGTGGTATGAGACAGGCTCATGAGCCCAATGCCGTTTCAGTATTGCTTGACATTTGTATGCTGTTTATAATTAATGCTACTATAGCCAATTTGGTAGACCTCGCCCAACCCTAGTGAGTGGTGTCCTATGACACAATGACGCAAAATCCAGCAGTGTGTCTGTGAAGAGTAACACATCTATGAGGAAGCCCCCTGCCTTCAGTGATGGAGCAGTGACCTCTGACTCCAGGTAAGACACTAGCCATTTTTGAAAGCGCTGGATTTTTTTTTTTTTTTTTTTTTTTATCAAAAGTGACCGTGTATTCCAGAAGCCTATACATGGTGGTAAAGAAGTGTGCTTTCATCTCAAAATCCAATTAGCATGAAGATAAAAATAATGATCACTCGGATGTTCATCACAATACAGAAGAACTGTCACTACTTTCTTTTCATTGCAGCTTTAATGAGTTTGGAGCATGTAGACGGAGCATTATCTGTTCAATCCTCTATTTAACTCAACATGGTTACATTTTAGGGATGGGCATTTCCCAAAAAAATTCCAAAGGAATATTTGTTTATTTAAATGAGGTTTAATGAGAAAGACGTTATTTTTAATTAAGTTTTTGTCACGATTTCTGAACAAGCTTATGATTAGCTGTTACACAGCAATGTTCTACGTTACGTTATATCACAAGGTTTTATTTTGGTTGAAAACATGTAAACACAAAAAAATACATAAAAAAAAAAGCATTCAAGATCAAATAGAGCAAACGGAAAAATCAAGCAGACTGTGCCAATTACAGTACAGAACGTAGGCTACATAGAGTATACTCGAGTCGGCCTATATTTATTGTGTTTGCAGTGTTTCATGTATTAATTCTGAGAGAAACAATAATATCCACATGCTCGGGTGAAAGTTTGTTCCTCAGTCTGATAACAATAAGAACGCGCTGACAAAGATAACGTGTGCTAACAGTTTCTTAGCGCTTTGTGTTAAACCTCTCTCCCTCGAGGAACCTTATGTCTCAAGATCATTTGGCTATCAGATGCGCTCTCTTCTCGGCTCAATCAGAGTACAGCTGCACTTACCTGCAGTCGTGAATGCAGTGATGGACAGCTGTCTACTCAGTCGACTGTGTTTGGATTTCATGTGATTTCTCATTGTGGCGGTGATATGATAAATCAGGTTCACTAATTCATTTGATCAGAAGTAATTACATTTTGTGAGATCATTTAGATCAAAGTAATTCCAAACTTTGTGAGGTGGATGATGACATTCTGTGATCAAATACTATCAACTGGTTAACACGCTCCACAGCGCACCCAGTGCATTTAGTTATAACTGCTTAGGATTCATCATGGATTCCCTGCATTTACGGCCAGCAAATCAACACCCAGTAAAATTCGAAGTGTTTTTATTATTCTAATAATTTCAGACCGAATGTTCGACTATTCGTGCACACCCCTATTACATTTGCAAGCTTTTCATCAGTTTGAGTAAAACACTGCTGTGTCGTAGTTCTGAACAGCAGCATATCAAGTACCAAAATATTAAAAATAATGTTATTGTTCTGTTTGAAGTCATTGGTATTGTAGTATATTTCCAACACCTGTATATCACACAACCTTAATCTGTAGTGCATTCAAGTTATATAGTATTTATGTGTAAAATGATATTTTGATTTTTTTTGTTGCTGTATTAACAGGATGAAGAGACAGAGATTGGAGTCTCCAGAATCCAGTGGTGTGTCTGTGAAGAGTAACATCTCCATGCATTGTCCCCCTGTATTCAGTGATGGACCGTTGTCCTCTAATCATTCGTTAGTACAAACTTTTACTTGCTAATTTTTGTTCTGCATCTTGGATGAGTAATAATGTAATAAATAACATTAAATGTACTCTAAGGGGCTGTAGATGTACGTTAAGCAGGCAAATAGAGAGCGACATGCTCATTTTTTCCAGGCATGTTTGCGATGCAGCTAGATGAAAACATCTAAACGTTTCAGAATGCGCAAGTGCACCCCGCACAGTGTTGGGCAGTAACACATTACTTAGTAACGCGTTACTGTAATTTGATTACTTTTTAGTAACAGTAACTTAACGCGTTGTACTTTTCAAAATAGTAATTAGAGTATAGTTACAAGTCGAGGTCTCTATATGTTACAGCCGTGTTACATTGCTGACAGAATGCAGTGTTTTATAATCTAGATTGTAAAAAGGATGTAGCACACGCACTGTTGAGTCAAGTGCCAGTGGATTAGACACCTGCGCCCGCGAGACCCGACGCAACAGAGCGCGGCGCGAGACAAGATGCTGGTGTGGCGGGTGCTCGTGTGTGTGTGCGTGATGCGGGAGAATAAAATGATTCACGGGACTCCCGCAAAATAGAAATATCTAAACATAAAATATCTAAAACAAATAAATTGTTATTCATCCATTGCAAAAAAGCAACATGAACTAATATAAAATATAAACGATTAACAGGTGCAAGCATATGCAGAGTTTCTATTTAGGCTATAACACGTGTTTGCAGCGTTGAGCAATGCAGTGCTGAAATTTGCGTGCTCACGAATCCTCTCATTATAACACACAAATTGTAGACATTATGAAAGATTCATTATGTATATATTTATTGTGTTATAACAGAGGTTTGTGAGATTGCGATAAACTGAGATGTCTTTTAGAGATTATAAATGCAGTGCTCTTTGCTGGCATTCTGCCATCCAAACCATGCACGCAGCAGCCGCTTGCTTTAGTTAAACATAACAGTGTTCTGTGAATGTTGATGCTTTAATAACAAATATTTATCGGGAGCGTGTATGCTGGGATTTCATAAATTTCATGGAGAAAAAAGTAACGTAACTAGTAATGTAACTAATTACTAATTACTTTTGAAATAAAGTAATCAGAACAGTAACGTGATTTCTTTTAAAAGGAGTAATCAGTAATCAGATTACATTTTCAGAGTAACTTGCCAAACACTGACCCCGCAGCTCATGTGACAAGAACCAACCAATCAGTTTTACCCTTTCTGTAACAACACTGAAAGCTCAGCCAAGATGGAGGAACATATGATCATAACTGTACAAAGATAACCATTTAAAAATAAATTTAGTAGCAGAGCTACTGCAAGTGATTCTGCAAGTGCTGGAAATCCATTTATCCTTCCCTGTAAATTCTGCGTTGTTATGGAGAACATCCACATATTTTTAGACACGACAGGGGTTGGGTATCGAAAACCGGTTCAATTTTAGAACCTGTTCCAAATTTCCAAGAACCGGGTATTCGATAAGACGCGTGCATTTCGATTCTGCTTAACGATTCCTGCGTTCGCATTGTAATGTGATTTAAAACGATTTAATTGCAGGAAGGGAAAGAACTTGCGCCTTGTTTGCCTGCAGCGCACATGAAGTGCAAGCGTGAGCACAGAGAACAGAGGTCGCGGTACGGGTTCCCGGTTTGTGTCCGTTCTCGAACCGCTCCGTGTATTTCCACTAGAAAAGGTTGTTCCGGGCCGAAATGGTCTTCTTTCATATTTGTCGACCAATATGCAGAAAACCCTGTCAGTATATCATCATAAACACAGCCGTTTTTGTCTTAAGTAAAAGTAAACAGATGAACACATGTGTACAGTATTTTTAGATCCGCGTGCGTTCGGTGTTAAAGAGACCGCAGCCTAATAAAAGTGCTGCCTGTCATTAATGTTAATCAAAGAACAAAAGAAAATCATTCACTGATCTTGACTGAATATATTTAATAACTTTATTCTAGATTTTATTTATTAAAAGAAAACACTGCAGTGTTTTTAAACTTTTAATTACAGTTTCTGTACCTGAAATTTGGTTCAGTTGTATTTATTTATACTATTGCTAATTGATTTGTTTGTTCCTATTTTATTACTGACTGTTTACTTGTCTTTAACACTTTAATATTAGAAATTTATATTAATCTAGCTGTTTTTGCTGTGGTATTTGTTTAAAATCATTGGCAAAGATCCTCTTGCAGTGTCCTGTAGGCTGTTGATTTTGCTCATGTTATTCAGCTGCACCAAAATGCTTTGTAAAAAGACACAGAATAAATGTTTGACATCTAAATGTTTGACTTAATTTTTTTTATATATTGGATTTTTTATCTTATTGGAATCGAAACTAGGAATCGATAAGCAGAAACGGAATTAGAATCGATCAAATTAAAATGATACCCAACCCTACAGGTGAACAGCCCCTAAGTGCTATTTCAAACATTCACTGCATAACCATGTCCAGTATTCCAGTTCCCTTCCCCCAACCAAACTTTAAAAGTATGTACATTATTCAATTAAAGGGCACCTATTATGCCCCTTTTTACAAGATATAATATTGGTCTTGGGTGTCCCCTTGGGTGACGCGTATACGTCTCTCTGCATTGCATACCTACATCAATAAACAGATGGTAGAAGCAACATGACTGAGAGCGAGAGAATCGGTGTTCAGCTCTATATATGGGAAGCAAAATGCACTGAAAGTGGGACGAAGTTACAGAGCTCGCGCCACGCTGACCTGTCATCAGTGTGGCTGCGCTACCGAATGGACAGTGTGGCACGAACTAATCTCACAAGCGCGGTGCTGATCAGTTAAAATACTTCGATAACGTAAGCACACAAATATGGTCAAAACTGTAAGCACTATGACATGATATTCACAAAGCAGTCTGGAGTGAAATGACTTGTGCAGACATACACGTATGTAGGTAGATTTTGAGGTGCATTACCTTAAAAAAACAAGTAATCAAAGTGTCCTCAGTGGCTCAGATGTTGGGAGAAAATTAAGACTCTTATGTTCAGTATTACATCCAAACACAGAGGATCGGGATTGCTTACGAGACATTTTTTACATTACAGCTGCTCGAACGCGGAGAAAATGGAGGACAGCCACTGAAGGCAGAAACTATAGCAGAATAGTAGTAGCACTACAGCAGTGATGTCACATTGCATAGAAAACCAAAACGGCAGGCCTAGTGAGACTGATTTGTTTTAATATGGATTAAAAAATAAAGGATGCAATTTACTTTTTTTGCTGCTTATTTTTTTCAGCAGGAGGGAGATACATGAACAGATCAGATCTCTGCCATCCTCTACATCTCACTCTCAGACCCACATCATGCAGGACAACACAGAAGCAGTCATGCATAAACACACACTAGAGACTAGAGACTTGCAGACATTCAAAGACCAGCACACAACCAGTATGAAGAACAAGTATGAGAGATTATTTGAGGGAACCAAACTCCAGGAGAATGAAAGCCTCCTGAACAGGATCTACACACAGCTCTACATCATAGAGGGAGAGAGAGAAGGAGTGAATGAAGAACATGAGGTTTTACAGATGGAGAAAACAGCCAGAACACAACACTCACAAGACACTCCAATCTACTGCAATGACATCTTTAAAGCCTCAGCTGAAGCAGGATCTGAGGAGAAAGAGCAGATCAAGACTGTTCTTACTAAAGGTATCGCTGGAATCGGAAAAACCATCTCTGTGCAGAAGTTCATTCTGGACTGGGCCGAGGGAAAAGCCAATCAAGATGTAGATTTCATGTTTGTGCTTCCATTTCGAGAGCTGAACTTGATCCGAGATCATCAGTACAGTCTTCACAGACTTCTGCTGGACTTTCATCCTGAACTTCAAGATCT